GGCTGCACATCTGGTTTGCTTCTCCTCGCCTCGAAAAAAAAGGCGGAATATTTTGTTTTAAGAGAGATGTAACTTAATTAGGTGTTATGGCTGCAAATCTTTTACTGCTGACTTTGAATTCCTTTAAAGCCCTGTTTTTGTGCTCCACGAGTTTTGTTAATTCTGCTAACGGGGAACAAGGATTTTTTTCTTTCTTTCTTTCGTTGTTTTTGTTGTTTGTTTTTTTTTTTTTTTCTCCCCACCAAGTGGAAAATATTTTATGATAATAATAATAAAAATTAAGGGAATTGGACCCAGGACGTTTCACTGCCCAGCCAGTCAGCCAGTGGGGCAGAGATGAAAGTCGGACCTCAAAGGCTCTGCAGGGTGGGAAAAGCAGGAGAAAGCTGGGAAGAACGATGCAGACGATGGGAACGTCCTGCCCAGGGACAGAACCCCAGCGGGGAGGGGCCCGGGGGGAGGCGAACACCTGAGCACGGCAGCCCCAGACAATGTCCCCCTGTTCCCGCAGCCCGGCACCTGCAGCAGGGAGGGAGGCAGGGAAACAGGGGAGAAGGGGCTGGGAGGCTGGGTGGGGGGTGGGTTGGGGGGCACAAGGAGCTGAGAGTCACCCCCAGCAAGGGATCTGAGTGTGGAAGGGCATGAAGGTTCCCAGGGGAAAAGAGTGCAGGAAACAGGACAGGGTACAGGCAGCTGACAGGATACAGGCAGCAGGACAGGGTACAGGCAGCAGGACAGGGTACCAGTTAGCAGGACGGGGTGCAGGCAGCAGGCAGGGGCCAGGGCCGGCCCTGCCTGCAGCATGAGCACACTGGAGGCAGAGTTAGGCAGGGCAGGGTCACCTGCCTCATCTCTGACCCCCCTCAAGGAGGGGGCTGTAGGACCCCAGCTGAGTCCCCACACAGACCCTGGGCAGGGACGAGCTACTTTGCAGGAAAAAGATTCAAACCAGACTCCAGAAATCTTAAAACAACAAACCCACAGGTAAACTGGGGGCAGTATAAGGCAGAGCTGCTCTGCTCAGTGAAGGAAACACTCGGCTGTCCAGGCAGGGCTGCTGAGTTTTTGGTGGCTGACAGTGTCAGACATCACCCTGAGACTGCTCCTACGGATACAGCCCTGCAGGGACTCACCTTGATTAACTGCTCTGTGTGCACTCCCTGCCATCAAACCATCCAAATCCCCCTTTCCCCTCCAAGTTTGTTCCCTCTCCTGAAGCCTGGTGTTCCTATCTCCCTCCCCAGCAGCAGGCAGGGCAGGCAGGGCAGGCAGGGCAGGCAGGAGCCATCACTGACAGCTCAGCTCGTGGTGCAGAGGGTGTGTTGCAGGAAGGACCCACTCTCCTCCACTGCCACCACCAGCAGTGAAACCTCAGCCAGACCCACGCTGGGCTGATCAACTCCCATCCCCATAATACCTCCCACTTTCTGGAGCCTTGGCCAAGCAGGACTGGAAGGGCTGTGACATGCCCCTGGGAGCAAGATTGTGCCAGCTCTGCCAAGCTCCTGGCCTCCATCCTGCATCTCCCCCTCCAGCCCCATCCACACGCTTTACTCTGTATGTTCAACCCCTCTTCTCCCCATCCCACACCTGCAGCAACTGAGCACACATGGAGTGTGCCCGTGGATACACTGGGAGACACCAGCTTGAGGAGCACATCTCAGGGATGCCCCTGCTGGCATTTTCTAACCCCCCTGGTGAGGCAGTAGTGAGATGGAGAACTGGGCAGGAGGATGCACAAAAGGCACTGGATCTCCATTGAGCATGTAGGCTCCCCTGGGATGGATGTATCCCAAACAGGGCATGGGGAAGCTCTTCATTAAATATGGGCATGGGGATTTGGTGTCTCTGCTCCTTACAGGCTGAGGCAGTTGGATTTGTTCAGCCTGGAGAAGAGAAGGCTTTGGGGAGACCTTAGAGCCTCCAGTGCCTGAAGGGGCTCCAGGAAAGGTGGGGAGGGACTTTTGACAAGAGCTTGGGAGTTACAGGACTAGGGGAATGGCTTTAAACTGGAAGAGGGGAGATTGAGGTTAAACATTAGGAAGAAATTCTTGACTGTGAGGGTGGTGAGAGCCTGGCCCAGGTTGCCCAGAGAAGCTGTGGCTGCTCCAGCCCTGAAGTGTTGAAGGGCAGGTTGGATGGGGCTTGGAGCAGCCTGGGCTGGTGGGAGGTGTCCCTGCCCATGCAGGGGGTTGGAACTGGATGAGCTTTAAGGTCCCTTCCAACCCAAACCAGCCGGGGATTCTGTGATTCCACTATCTCAGGACCATCTGCCTTGGGATGGGATGGAGGATGGTGCTGGAGGTCTATTCCCTGCCACTGGCATGCAGGAGATGACCAGGGTCTTGGGGACAGCAGGGAAAAGGGTGACTCAAGGAGGAAAGGGGCTGCTGCTTTCCCTAGCTTCTCTCTCCCTCCCTGGCTTGGGATCACTACAGAGGGATAGACAGTGGGATGGCTACGAACGTCCATGCTACAGTGCTGATGGGATTGAGGAAGGAAAGGGAGAGGACAGAGAAAAGTCTTGCATGTCCACACATGCCCATGAAGAGCTGGCCCAGCATCAGCCCAGCCCATCTGACCTGCTGCCAGGAGGACAGATGAGAGGGCAGAGCCCAGCTGATGGACAAGGGGCAGTCAGGGAGGGGATGCAAAGTGGACACTTCACCTGTCTGCCACAGGAGCTGCTGGGCCACATCCTGCAGCACCAGGGAGGGCAGATAATGGTGGTGGTGGCACGTGGGATGGGCACTGGCACACCACTGTGGTGCTGTTGGCATGTGCCATGTCAGGGGAGGAGCTGAGGGCACACCACTGGCAGCTGTGGCCGGGCTGGAAGAGGGACCCCAACCTGTTGGTGTGGGCAGCACCCCAGCACCCAGCCCCAGCTGAGCCTCTGCAAGAGCACCAACAAACCCTCGAGGTGTATGGGGACACCCGCTTTGCTGCTCCAGCCTGGGGAGGACAGGGTGGCTCTTGAGGAGCTCTAAGAACAGTGGCAGAAATGCCTCCATTGCCCATGCAAAGCCTGCAGGCACTGCTGGAGCTGTCCCACTCCTGCCTGGTGACAGCAGCAGTGACATCCCTCCTCCCATAGTCCCATCATCACCCCGTGCAGCCAGGAGGAGCAACACAGACCCAGACATTTCATTCCTCTGGACCTAGATGGGGTGAAACACATTGTGACTCTTGTCCCAGGGGAGCCCATGCCCTGACATGGGGGGTCCTGAGCCTGCCTGCAGCTTGCCTGACCCCCACCAGGGCTCTGTGGAGGCAAGAGGCACCAAGGAGAAACTACTTGCACTGGCATGGATAAAAGAAGATTAATAAAAGCCAGCACCCAAACACCCATAGGTGCTGTGCACCACAACCCCTGCCATAACCCACCATGGCCCCAGGGGCTGCATCCCTGCTTTCCTCCTCAGAGTGGATGGAGAAAACCTTTCCCCAAGAAAGCCCCATCAAGGTTTGCTGGTCCCTTTCCAGAAATACACAGGATTTCAAATCTCAGTCATTTGTTTCACCAGCATTTTTCACTATTGATCTTTCTGCCAAAGTATTTGGTGAAAATGAGCCCTTCTCCCTGCTGGGATGGGGAAGGGGAGCTGGGATGGGATGTCTCTGGGCAGGGCTGGCATCAGGGGCTCAGCTTAGGATGTGGAGCACTTACCTGCAGGAGCCTCCGTGCTGGTGACTAGGGAGGTGGGGTTGATGGCAGGGATCTCTGGAAAAGAAAGAGATGTCTTAATGAAAGGAGTTCCCAGCCTGGGGGGCAGATTTTGTGGGTCACCTCCAGCAGCTAGTTAAGAAAGACAAAGGGATGAGTCTGACCTTAGTATCACAGGCTATTAATTAGATGTGGAGATGTCCAAACTGAGCTCAATAAATGGGGACAGGCTGAGATGCAGCAGCTCCCAAAAGCTCCAGGTGGCTGCTGCAGAGGACAAGTGCTCCAGAGACAGATGCTCCCTGGATCATCTGCTCATCTGAACTCAGAACTGGATGCTTGGCTGATCTGAGCATCCTCCAGGCTGCAGAGGGAGAAGTGTGGGCAAAGAAAACCTGGGGGAAATCCTATCCTAAGCCCAAATCCAGGGAAGAACAGGGGGAGAGGAGCCTGCCCTGCCAACTCACCCCCACCACCACAGCTCCAGCAGTGCCAGCAGATGCTTGGGTCAAATTCAGCCCCACCACAACATTAACCATGATTTTAGGCTAAGGGCAGGGTCTGCCATACCCAGACCTGATGATGCCAAGGAGGATACCTGGAGATGTGACCCAGAAGAGCTATTTCAGCCAGCTGGAAGCACGAACACAAGGGGTCTTTCAGAAGCTCCAGCACTGGGGATTGTGAAGCATGGGTGCCCCCAGAAGTGACCCAACCATCCTAACTCAACAGCTTCCCAAAGAACGTCCCTAAGGACGGACATCCTCTTGTCTCAGCCTCCCACCCACCACAAGCTGCCAGAATGTGGGTGAGGGACAAACAGGCACCCACTGGAGCCAGCCCAAGGTGAGCACCCCCTGGTGCCAGTGAAGGTCCCCAGGAGCAGAGCAGGGCAGCACGGGGCACTCACTGATGCAGGGGGCCACGGGCGAGCGGCTCTGCTGGTAGCCCTTGGCACAGCGGTTGCAGGTCAGACCAGTCACCCCGTCCTTGCACGGGCACTGCCCCGTGGTCTGGTTGCAGGTCTTGCCAGCTGCTCCGACGGGGTGGCAGTCACAAGCTGGGTGGGAGAGAGAGAAGAGGTTACGAGGGAGGTGAAACGCAGCACAAACCCCAGATTGGACCTAACGTGCAACACAGAGAGGAGGGGAGAAGCTGGACCCTTCCATGCCCGTGGGGCCAGCACCGCCAGGACACATGGGTTTGGATCATGGACCCACAAGTACTGTGAGCAGGATGAGGAGGAGGGTGAAGGGCTTGATCAGGGCATGGCCTCCACTGACAGAGATGCTGGGGATGAGTCCCTGGAGACCCTGCAGCCCCCAGCTCACACTTCAGGTCTGGACATCAGAAGTGTTTTGTAGAATCATAGAATCCCAGACTGGTTTGGGTATGAAGTGACCTTAAAGATGATCCAGTCCCAACCCCCCTGCATGGGCACTGACACCTCCCACCACTCCAGGCTGCTCCAAGCCCCATCCAACCTGCCCTTCAACACTGCCAGGGATGGGGCAGCCACAGCTTCCCTGGGCAACCTGGGCCAGGGTCTCACCACCCTCACAGTCAAGAATTTGTTCCTAACGTCTCACCTAAATCTCCCCTCTTCCAGTTTTAATCCATCCCCCTTGTCCTGTCACTCCCTGCCCTTGTCCCAAGTCCCTCCCCAGCTTTCCTGGAGCCCCTTCAGGCACTGGAAGGTGCTCTCAGGTCTCCCTGGAGCCTTCTCTTCTCCAGGCTGAACATCCCAACTCTCCCAGCCTGGCTCCAGAGCAGAGCTGCTCCAGCCATCTGAGCATCCTCATGGCCTCCCCTGGACTCACTTTGCATTCAGCTGCCCAGAGGACAGCCTGGCACACCTGCAGGCAGGAGGAGAGATCCCATGGGCAGCCCCGTTCCTGCTGCCAGCCTTGTCCTGTATGAGCAAAGGGAGCAGAGCTGCCATGGGGTTGTGCACACCCTTGTTCATGGCCAGGGTATGACTGGGGCACTGTGGGCACAGCAAGTGGACAGACACACACTCAGGTCTGTTCTGCCCTCACTTTCAGCCCCAGAGTGGTGCTCCTGTTGCAGCAGTAAAAGGCATTTTCTCTATTTGCTCCCCCACCTCTGAGTTTGTCAGTCTGTGGAGCTGAACCAACACCCAGCTTGTACACAAACTTTGGCCTTCTCTTGGTTTTAGGATGGTCTGCAGTGGGTCTTCTCAATGCTTTCCAAGCTCATCAGCCTCAATGGCCATCCTGGTTCCTAGAGACACAGGCCAAAGGATGTCCCCATGCCTTTCTACCACGATATCCCTAGAAAAAATTCACACCTGTGGTGGCTAAAAGTTGGGTTCTTCACCCTCAGAACAGACCCAAAGTGGCTCTCCATCACACCACACTGAAAGAGGGCTGTCTACACAGAGGGATGTGGGAAGGAGATGCTCACTCAGGACAGAATCTTCCCATCTGCCTGCCTGGGGCTGGGCTGGCGACGAGCTGAAGGAGGGTATCTTGGCCTCCATCAGTGTATGAGTTGAACATGATTACAAAACAAAACAAAAACATCTCCCCCATCCTCCTGCCTGTCCCCACTGCCCCCGATGTTGTCATTTCCCTAATCCTCACCAGTTGGGACTGGGGAAGCACCATGGTGCTTCTCCTCAGGCCCCCTCCTGCACAGCCAGAAATCACAGTGAACAGCCTCTAATGGGGACCAGATGCTCCCTCATTATCAGATCTTGGCTGGGCCTGGAAGCAGACATCTTCTGACAAGGATATTTTGGGGGCTCAGCTGTGATAACAAATGGCAGTGAGCAAGGGAGCCTTGGCATGACCCAGGGCCATCAGAAACATGGGCTCTTTCTTGGGCCCCAGTGGTGTATTCCTGCCGTAAAGCTGGACCTAAATCCCAGCACCATCAGAATCCAGTTCCTCCAAGTGGACCTCACTCTCTTCACATGGTGGAAGAAGGCTTCCAAAGACTCTTGATGTTCTACCTGGACCAGTAATTAAAGGCAGCTTTGCTCACCCTACATCTGCAACAGAGATGAGCTTGGTCTCTGACAGACCCTGGTCCTGCTGGGGTGCGATTTCCTGCAGTCCCACAAAAATCCATTCCTCCTCCCTGCTCCAATGGAATAGCATCCCCAGCAGATCCCAGTGCTTATCCTGACCGGTCCCACATCTCAGCATGGCTGCATCCCACCATTCCAGCTGCAGCATCTCCATCCCTCCTCATCCTGAGGTGGCCCATGGAGGGGGCTGGTCCGGGGGCCACATCCCAGCCCAGGGAATGCCAGGACAAGGCCCAGCTCCCTGCCTGCTGCCCACACACAGAGCCCTGCTGCTCCCAGCCCTGCTGCCTGCCTGGATCTGGCCCACAGTGCTTGAATGGGGGATTAAGTCACTAGCTTGGAGCTTAACTCATCGAGCCGTGCTTGCCAGAAAGCATGTCTTGCACCTCATATTGAGGGTATTTTTGTGTCTTAAGGCTTAGCTGCTACTGCTTCACCAGTTTTCATTGGAGAAAACTCAGGGTTTACGGCTTTGTTTAAGTCACTGGGATTAATGCACAGCCATTCTTTATTTGACTTTTCAATTACCACCATTGAATTAATCCTGTAGGTTGTTCTGCCTTTTCCATTCTCCCAGCTTTTCCATCTCCTGGAGTCCAGCGGTGGCAGTGGCTGCTGGTGGGCTGGCAATGGAGGACCCAGCTCCCCTTCCCTGCGTGCCAGCTGGTGGCCCTGGGCTCTGCTCTGCTGTGGGCAGGAGACACAGGCTTGTGCAATCTGCAGCCAATATTTTGGGGCTTGTTTCAAAGATGCTGCATCCCAGCACGGATGACCCATGGTTGGATCGTTACTTAGTACCATGTGTTGGAGTTTGTTTAAATAAAATGTAATAGCTCCTGGCCTCTGGGTTAGTGTTTTGCCTCCTGGATATGAGCTGAGCTTCACTCCCTGTGCCTGCAGCATCTGCCTTTGCCAGGATGCTCAGGTGCTGCCCTGGACCAGTGCTGCTGTAGGTGCAAAGGCTTTGTTCAGAGCCACAGCCTCAGCTCAGCACAGCTCGCTCCACCCTTGCCTGTAACACCTGCTGCCACCAGCCTTGCTCCTCCTTTTCTTTCTTTTTTCTTTCAGGAGAGATACCCCAGCTGTAGGACTGTAGGTGTAGGACACATCTTTTGAAAAAACAAGCCCAAATTGTCCTGTCACATCTCCCTGTGTTCATTTCTCTCTCTGGCAACACCAGCTCCTGTTCATGGCACCAGGCAGGCTCCCAGGTGCTGGTCTGGCTCCAAGGAGCTCCCAATCCCAACAGATCCACCACTGTGTAAGTAGAAGAAAGGGGTGGAAACACTCTCTGCTTTCCTGGAGGAGGGGCAGCCAAGGGAGAAGGAGCATCATTTATTATTATTAACTCAGTTCCCTGAGGCAGAGCCAGGAACTGGATCCCAAGACCCAAGGAACAGCCTTTCCTGGCAGATCCTCGCCAGCATATGCTCCGGAGCTGGGGGCAGCCCCAGTGCACATGTTCCTCTGGCTGGGCTGAAACTTTGCAGTGTTTCCAAAACATGGGCAAACCCTGCCAACCCTCCAGAAGCAGCACCCCCGGGCCAGGCTGGCCAGGAAAAGGGGTGTCTGGGAGGGGGGCCACAGGCACCTGCACTCTGCTCCTCTGCAGCCTGGGTATCGCTCGCTGGTCTTTCTGCTGCATCAGCCCTCACAGAACTGTAGAATCCTTTGGGTTGGAAAAGACCTTTCAGATAATGCAGTCCAACCATTAACCCAGCACTGCCAAGGCCACCAATGACCCATGTCTCTCAGCACAACATCTATACAGCTTTGATTGGGACTCCACCCCTGCCCTGGCCAGCCTGGGCCACGGCCTGACAACACTTTCAGGGAAGAAGTTTTTTCTAATATCCCATCTAAACCTCTCCTGGTGCAACCTGAGGCCATTTCCTCTCATCATATCACTTGTCCCTTGGGAGAAAAGACCAACCCCCCTGGCTCCAACCTCCTCTCAGGCAGCTGCAGAGCCAGCAGGTCTCCCCTCAGCTCCTTGTCTCCAGGCTGGACACCCCCAGCTCCCTCAGCTGCTCCTGCTCACACTTGTGCTCCAGCCCCTTCCCCAGCCCCACTGCCCTTCCCTGGACACGCTCCAGCCCCTCCATGTCCTTCTTGTCCTGAGGGGCCCAGAACTGACCCCAGGATTCAAGGTGCAGCCTCAGCAGTGTCCAGCACAGGCCGACAGCACCTCACTCTTGAGCCCCCAGGGATGCTCTGCCCACCCTGTCCCCTCCAGAAGAGCCAGTCTGAGTTTCCATTCCCTTAATGCTCCTCAGTTCCAGCCCTGTGAGGATGGCAGAGCAGCACTTGCCCTGCCAGACCCCAGGCTGCTGCCAGCACTTGGCAGGTGCAGGCAGGAGCAGCCATGGCCCCTCCACCTCCTCCAGTCTCAGCCCTGAAAACGGAGGGACTGAGCCACAGCCAGGGTAGGACCTGCTGTGCAGATAATTTTGGTAGCAAAAATAGAAAGAGCTGGTGAGCTCAAGGAGAGCAGAAACGCCTCATCTGAGGAGGGCTGGGGAGGTTGTGGGCTGCCTGCAGAGGATCTGAAGGAGGTGGAGGTGGCACGGCCACCCCAGGGCCTCACAAGCCCCAGAGCCAGTTGGGGTGAGCTGGGGCTGCCTGTGAGCTCCCAGTGCTGGAGGAAAATCTCCATGGAAAAGAGAATTTTATTGCAGCTGCCCAAGTCCAGCTGTGCTGCAGCAGGAGCCAGGGGCTGGTGCCATCCCTCCCTGGCCTCAGCCTGACCCTGGACCCTCCCAGGAATGGGACAGGACCCAGGATACTGTGCTACAGCTCTTCAGGATGCATGTCTTGTACTGCCTCTTCTTCCTCCCAGTGCCTCCCAGTGTCACCCCAAGGATGCTGGCACCTGGCACAGCTTTGGGATCTGGCTGCCACCTGGCACAAACCCAGTCAGTGGGAAGCCCTTGCTGCTGCCAGGGGGCTGCCATGCCCTGAAGCCATGGCTGTGACACAGCTTGGCCAAGGCCATGGGGCTGGGGAGCAGCATGTGGTGACCTGGGAACACAGGCTGCCAAGGTGGGACCTGTCAAGTGAGCTGCTCAGGTAATTCAAAGTGATTAGCTGGTTGGTTGCTAACGAGCTGGCTGTGTGCAGGGCTCACCCTGCCAGTGCTTCCAGTGCTGCAGCAGGCAAACATGGGAAGTTCTTCCGTTTGCTCCATCCTCTCAACCACTCCCCTGGCAACAGGGATAGGAAGAGGCAGGACTAGCTCCCACAGCACATCTCAATGGAGGGATTTTATCTGTCGCATCCTGCTCCCAAATGAGCCCTACCCACAAATACCACCAACACACCCAAGAGGGGAACCCTAAAGCCTGAACCCTTCAACTGAGGGCTGTGGACACAATGTTAATGGTCCAAAAGCAGCTTCAGTGGTTCCTATAGGCCCTACATAAATACAGCAGCATCATGTCCTCACAGCAGCAAAGGTGCCCACTGCCCAGCTGGTACAATGTACTGGAGATGGGTGCTGCACTCCCTTAGGGGAAATACTAAGCTGAAAAAAAAAGGGATCAGGGATGAATTCCTGGCCTGAGAGCAGCCATAGCTGACCTCCTGCCCCCTCCAGTGTTTCAGCCTGGACCCTGCCAGTCCTTGGGGATAGGCAAGATTTTTCTTCTCTCAACTTCTTTGGTGAAACTATTGTTTTGAGTCTTCACAGAGGAAAAAGGCTCCACAAAGGGGGCTGAGCAGGGAGAGAGGAGAAACTAGACAGCTTGGCCAGGAGCTGGAGGTGATGTGCAGGTCCCATGACACTTGTCAGAGGTTAGGGACCTTGAGAGGTCAAGTTGCTGCTTGATGACACAAAGCCAGCTCAGGAACAAGCCACTCTGCCAACAGGCACTAGGAGCCATGGTGCTCAGCACCTTCCCAAAAACAGGTCCTAAGGCCGAGCCCAAAGGTGAAACGTGCAGTGGGATCCTGCAGCACAGCCCAGCAGGGTGATGAAAACCTCTGTCTTCTCCCTGATCCTGCAAGGAAGGGAAGCCACTACAGGTCATCTCATGAAGCATCTTGAACGCTTCCAAATAGCCCAGACAACTAGAGTGTCAGACAAGTTCCCAGTGTATTTAGTCATGAACCTTATCCAGCACCTGCCCAGCATCTGTCCAAACACTGACCACAGAGGCAATAACTGCAGCTGCTCCAGGACCCTGCCAGGAAGGATGGATGTGGCTCCTGGGAGTCTGCCCACTCCTTGCCTGCCCTCCCTGCCTGCCTGCTCCCTGCCCATCCTCCCCACTCTTTGAGGAGAGACTGGCTTGAGGTAATGTCCCTGCCTGGTGCCCTTAGGGCAGCAGAGGTGCCCAGGGTGACAGAGGCTGTGGGTGACCTGCAGCTGCAGGAGGGAGCAGCTGGGCACTGAGCAGAGCAGAGAGACATCCCAGGGATGGGGGGGAAGAGCGAGGACATCGAGAGAGGTTGTAACACTGCGCTGCCCCCGTGGAGACACCCCCAGCTTACCTTTGCAGGCCTTACGGTCGGTGATGGCCTTGCTGAGGTCCCTGTAGAAGCCCTCCTTGCAGTAGTGGCAGTGCCGCCCCGCCGTGTTGTGCCGGCAGTTGAGGCAGACGCCGCCGCTCTTGCGCCCCGACAGCTTGTACAGCTCCATGTTGAACCGGCAGCGCCGGGCGTGCAGGTTGCAGTTGCAGGCTGCGAGAGGCAAAGAGCCGAGAGCATCAGTTCCTGTGCCTGGCCGCCCGGGGGGCGACCCCGGGACAGCTCCTGCAGTGGGGATGGGGACCCTCGAGGTCCTGTCCCGCTGTCCCACTGCAGCAAGGGTGTTACAGGGTGGGATGCTCTGCAGACACCTCGGGCTATGGGAAGCCAACTGCAAAACCACATCATGGAATCATCACAGAATGGTTTGTGTTGGAAGGGACCTTAAAGATAGTTTAGACCCAACCCCTCCTGAATTGGCAGGGACACCTCCCGCTAGATCAGGCTGCTCCAAGCCCCATCCAACCTGGCCCTGAGTGCCTCCAGAGAGGGGACATCCACAACTTCCCCGGACAACCTGGGCCAGTGCCTCACCATCCTCACACTAAGGAATTTCTTCCTAATGTCTAACCTAAATCTCCTCTCTTCCAGTTTTAATCCATTACCTCTTGTCCCATCCCTCCCTGCCCTTGTCCCAAGTCCCTCCCCAGCTTTCCTGGAGCCCCTTCAGGCACTGGAAGCTGCTCTAAGGTCTCCCTGGAGCCTTCTCTTCTCCAGGCTGAACACCCCAACTCTCCCAGCCTGGCTCCAGAGCAGAGCTGCTCCAGCCCTCCCATCATCTCTGTGGCCTCCTCTGGACTTGCTCCATGTCCTTCTTATGCTGGGGGCTCCAGAACTAGACAACTAGACACAGTTCTCCAGATGGGGTCTTATGAGAGCAGAGTAAAGGGGAAGAATCACCTTCCTTGACCTGCTGGCCACATTGCTTTTGATGCAGCTCAGGACACAGCTGGTTTCTGGGCTTCAGGCACACGTTGCCAGCTCATAGGTGGCTTGTAGCTGTGCAAAGGGAAGGGGAAGGGACTGGGGTGATGCATGTCCCTGACCAAAGCTCTCACAGCTGGGAGGTGGCACCTGGCACCAGTCAGGGTAATCAGGACACATTTAATAATGATGCACACTGGGGAAGAGAGCAATAAGGAAGAAAGTTCTGGTGTGCTATTTGCCAGCTGGGAACAGAAGACATGGGCATCTCAAAGGCAGTGTTAAATGGCCCCAACTCCACCAGTCTTGCTGGAGTCAGAGTGGAAGGGAGGGCTGGGGCTGGTCCCTGCTGGGACAAGTAGCAGAAAGAGCTGGGGTGCATCTGGAAAGGGAATGGGAGGCAGGGGTGCAGCTCATCTGGAGACGTGGGACATGTCCAGAGCCACTGCCTGCACTTCCCATGGCCAGAGCTGGGTCACCTGGTGGTGCAGAGATTGAACGGCAGGAAATGAGACACTCTCTTCTGACCCTGAGTCCAGGTGTTTTCCTTTCTAAAGGCACAGGGAACACACTCACGATGGAGGTGATCTCATTCCACAAACACCAGTCACCCCAGTGATGTGGGACTGGCCTCCCAGAGTCCCCACACCAGCCTGGCAACCTCCTCCCATGTGTCACTGAGTCATTTCAAGGGCCACAGACAAACAAACACATGTGAAAAGCAGATCAAACAGGGGTGTGTGTGTACTCTAGCCATACTTCTCCCTACCAGATTTGTCCACCTGCCGTCAGAAAATTGAGACATTTCGGTCACTTTTTCAGTTACGAGCAAATAGCCCAGGCTGCTCTCACCAGAGCACATCCCTGAAGACAAACAGGGCTGGGGCTGGAGAGTCCCCAAGGGGAGCCCCAGGACAGGGGCTGCCCTATGGGCTGGGTCCTGCCAGGCACCACAACACCCTGAGACTCAACCCACCTTTTAACAACAGACACCCCTTTGGGTGGGATTATCTGGAGAAAACTGAGTTCTGGACTGGCTGTGGCTGGGAGCCAGGGTGCCCAGCTGGGACAGCATCTCCTGGGAGAGGTGCTGGGTGCTGCACATGGGGCAGGCACAGGGGGAAACATCCTTGTCCCTCCTGCAGTGCCACAGGGGAAGGAGAAAGGGCCAGTGCTCAGCCCTTTCA